CACAAGATTTTGAGTTCCAAATTTTCCCCTCATATCATCCCTCCCTCCACCCCAAGATAAAGTGCATTCTGAACACTCCTTCCCCTAATCTGCCCTCCCTTCTATCCCCCCCTTGTCTTATCCCCTTCCTCTTCAATTTTCCTGTAGGACAGGTATATCTTGTCTGTATATCTTATTTCCCAGTTGCATGTGAAAACAAATTTTAACATGTGTTTTTGAAACTTTGGGTTCCAAATTTTCTCCCTTCCTTCTTCCCCAACCACTCTCGTTGAGAAGGCAAGCAATTCAATACAGGTTATACATGTGCAGTCATGCAAAACATTTCCATAGTAGTCATGTTGTGAAAAACTAAGTATATTTCCCTTCATCCTATCCCACCCACCATTTATTCTATTCTCTCTTTTGACCCTGTCCCTCCTTAGAAGTGTTTGCTTCTGATTACCCCCTCCCCAATCTGTTTTCCCCTCTATCATCTTCCTGCTCTCTTCTTGCCCACTTCCCCCCTATTTTCCTGTAAGGTAAGATAGATTTCCATACCCAATTGAGTATGTATGTTATTCCCTCGTCTCTGGGATTTTATAACACTACTCTCTCATGGTTTACCTCCTACCTATATGACCATTACTTATCTGTATCTTTTGTTGTTTCATCATCCACAGTATTGCCCCTAAATGTGGATGTACTCCAAGCTTCTATCAAAGGATTTTTCTCTCCACCTCTTGTTGAACTTATCATATGTGATGAGTTTAACCATTTATGCAAATAATTCCCAGATTTATATATCTACCCCCAGTCTCTCTGCTGAACTTTAGTCTCACATCACCAATTATCTATTGGATAATTTAAACCAGATTTACCCAAGATGTTTTAAAATCCACATGTCTAATGGTGAACTCATTATCTTTTCTCCTAAACCCTCCCTTCTCCCAAGCTTCTCTATATCTGTTTAAGATACTATGTTACAGCCAGCCTCCCATGTGTGTAACTTCATCATCATCCAGTTCTTCACTTTTTCTTACCCCACATAGCCAATCACTTACCAAATCTTCCCATTTCTGCTTCACAACCTTTCTAACATCTGACCCCTTTTCTCCTCTCATACAGCTACTGACCTAGTTTGTACATTCATGAATTGTCACCCAGATTATGACATCTTCCCAATTGCTCTTCGTGTCTCAGGTCTTTTATTGCTCTAGTCCATCCTACATACTACTGTCAAAATAATTTTCCTGAAGTTCAGATCTGACCATCTGACTCCCTTGTTCAACTAACTCAGAGATTTCCTGTTCTTTGTGTGTTTGCACTGGCTATTCCCCATGCCTGTAATTCACTCTTTCATTATCTCCATGTCAAATAGCACCTTTGTTAGACACTACAGGTCTCCCCAACTGCTAGGGGTCCTTCCAAACTACTTTATACCATTACTATACTACACGGAGGAGTCACCTAGGTGGCTCAGTAGATAGAGTGCTGGGCCTGGAGATAGAAAGATCTGAATTCAAATACAGCCTCAGACATTTACCAGCTGTGTGATCCTGGGCAAGTCACTTAACTTCTGTTTGCCTTGATCCACTAGGAAAAAGAAATGACAAACCACTCTAGTATCTTTGTCAAGAAAACTCCATGGACCATAGCATGCCAGTCCATGGGGTCACAGAGAGTTGGACACAGCTGAACAACAAATACTGCCTTGAATATATTTTACATTTACTAACTTTAGATTTATACTCTATGTATTTTTAAATATAGTTGTCTAATCCATTAGAATATAAGATCCCTTTGAGTAAGAATTGTTTCATTTATTGTACTTATGTCCCCAGCACTTTATGTTTTTCTTTGATGAAACCCAACAGCCCATGTGGAAGGCATAAGCCAATGCTAGAGAGAGTCTTACAATGGAACAGATTTCTTGCTCTATATTGAGAATAAGCCTTGAGAAGATGCAAAATGATTATCTTTCTCCTAATCAGACTAACAAGAAAATTTCATTAAGCCAGTACATGTTTAAATCCGGATATAGTGTTCTGAGTTCTCTCATTGCCCTCTCTCAATTTCTCTGAGGGAACTGGAAGGATTAGATTATAATCCCTCATGAATATACGTGAAACTATTTTCTTCATTCCTTTACTATTGCTTTTAAAAAATAGATTAAATGTTTTCACTCGAATGCCTTTCTCTTGACTGATCTACTTGTGAAGGTACAAACTAAATTCAAATTGTTTTTAGAGGCTTCTCATGTGTCTGGGATGGAATTTAAAGCCTTAAGAAGAATGCTTATCACTTACATCATTCCTACATTGAATACTAGTAGTCCATGGGAATTTCAGAGTGAACAGAAAATAGATCACATCTCTTTCAACCTTTCTTTTGACATTATACCCATCCTTTAAAGCCCAGCTCAAATGTCACTTTCTCCATGAAACCTTTTATGATCTCCCAATTAGTAATGATCTCACTACCACCAACCTGGATCAATGTTACAATGTACTTTGCACATCTTTTAGGCAGCATTCACATATAATTTTGTTGTTGTAGTTGCTAAGAAATTTTTCTTTTCCTCTCTCTCAGTAAAGGTTTGAGGATAAAGAATGGTATCTATGCAGGATGTATGCCTCTCATACAGTGTGGGCGGACTAATACCTAACTTACGGTTAGTAAAAGAAAAATAAGATAAAAGGAAAAGCTGGAGAGAGGAATGGTAGCATCCAGAGAAAGGAGGACTCAAAAAGGTGTGTTCTCAGCCTGAATGAGGCAGATTGTAATGAAAGGTTGGAGAATTTTGGAGGCTGTTCTTTATACCTTGTCTAAAGAAGTGATAAATGGGGAGCAGTGATACATAAAGCTCTGAAGAAAACAATATACTCAAGTGTAAGAAATTGATAAGAGGAAGGGAAAAACATATATTTTGCTTCCCTGCCCTTCTCACCCTCAACCCCACCACCACCAAACAAACACTTTCAAATAGCAGAAAGCAATTAGATTTAAAATATAAGGGCCTCAAGAGTTTTAATATGGATGAAGAAAAAAAAATTCAACTTATATACATTTTGAAGGACTAATGGTTTCTCATTCAAAAGTCCCTGTTTTGATTTTCTCCTTTTAACAAAACTTTTCTCTGTAAGAATGTGATCTACATGTTTGCAATGGAAAGTAAATATCAATATAGTGAAGGCACTCCATGTTTCCTCAGGTTTTCTGAGGGAGGTGGGAACTACTAGGTAAGAAATACCCCAAAGTGCATTCTGCCCCTCTATGTCAAGAAAGTCTCTGGCACAAGGGTTACACTGAGTTATAGAAATTGTCCTAATTTTTATTTTATATATCACATGCATTAATGCATTTTAGGATATTTTATGCCCCTAGTGGATGGTGAACTTCATCACTGTCATTTTCCACCTCTGTGTCTTCCCCAGTGCCTAGAAGACTAGTCTATGTATCACATATACTTAACAAATGTTTGCTTAATTGAACCAAATTATACATGAATTCAGAACATTTTTAAGAAATGCATTAAAACCCATAATCAATTGAGTACAAAAATCTGCTTTAACAGAAGTGAAGTCTATCTTATAGAAAAGAATTATTGCTTTTACAAAGTCAAAGAACAAAGTTTTAAGTGATGAGATTCCCTTAGTTTCCCTTAGTATAAGCCTATTATGGATTGCCTTCAAGGCATAGCACTCCTGGCTGTGGAAGGATTTTGGCTTTAAATCCTGGCCCAATTGACCTTCTGTGTGACTTGGGTACATCATTTCTCTCTTTGAGGCCTCAGCTGCCTCAGCTGCAAAATGAAGAAGTTCGACTAGATCATCGTTAAGGTACTGCTCACCCCTAGCCCTAAATCCCCTGGAGGATCTTTCTTTGTTGTTGGACTACTTTATTCACTGGTCAATTTCAGTTTCCTGAGATTTCTTTTTTTCCTTGTGATAGAAAATAAATCCATACTATCTTCTTAATAAACACATTTAAAACAAGATAAGCTTCATACCATTACCTTGAACCCATTTCTGATTTTCTTAAATCATATTCAGCTGCTGCAGAAAAGTGCAACTTGAATCAGTTGGTGAAGAAAAGCTCAGTTCCTTTCATTCCCACCCCCCAGGAATATCAGGTTCATTGCCTCTATTCCGTGCACACTAATCTAAAGCACTCAAGTGCTGCATATTGGACAGCAATTATGCTTCTCAGCTGGCATAATATAAAGAGGTTTAACATTATTTAAATATTGGGAATTACTGTAAACATCCCAAATTTAAAAGCAATTAGGACTCTACTCATGTGCTGGAGAGAAGCAAGTGAGCTTTATTAAGGGATTTCAGAGCTGGTATGAAGACATGTTTTCATGACCCCACCAAAGAACAGGAGAGAAAAATAATGTATCAAACTGTACCTCAGACTGACTGTCTTGGGGAAGGGCAGAGTGGTATAGGAACTCAATTGGTAAACACCAGGTGTTTGTTGTTGATGTTGTTTTTTTACTAATTCATACAATTTTATATATCCTATAGTTCTAACTCCTACATTATACATTATACATAATATTCATTATACAGATGAAGCACATTTCCACAGATTTAATTGTATGTCCGAGATCACAATGCTAAGTTGTGGCACTGACAGTTAGCAGAGGTCTTTAAATGTGTTATCATTATGTGACCACTATTGTAAAATGTTGCACAATGGTTGAGCCAAGGGGATCCATTTGCACTGCCTTTTGTCCAACCTTTGGATGGTGAGAACCAAAGATGGTATCATTTTTTATGTCTCTAAGATTTTCAATTATCATCCCTACCATAGATCATTTTGTCCCAGTCCCATTCCTAAATGAACTTGGGAATATTTTTTAAAATATATATTAGATGCATTAATTTTTAAATCACTTTTTGGAAACTTATGCAAAATATGCAAAACATAGAAAAGAAAAATGAAAAATCTTTCACATTGCTTGGCAATCCATTCCTTAGCAGTAAGTTAATTTTATGTTTAAAGTTTAAAGGTTCATAAGCTACATCAATATGAGAAATTGAGGTTTTAAAGCAACATAAGTATGAGAAACAGCTTTTTCACTGAAACTCATTTTCATTTTGGCTATAAATGTATTCCTGTATTTTTAAAAGTTAGCAAATGCTTATATTTAGGGATTTGAAGTCAATTTCATAATATGCACATGGCAACCTACCTAAGAAACATATATTAGAAGAACAGTGCTTTTGTTATTGTTTTCACCATTTAAAATGAAAGCAAACGTATAGAAGGTATTTAACTATGCTATATCATCTCTATCATCCCCTGGAGGTATTCAAATGAATAAACAAAATGATGGAATATCATAATTGCTTTTGAAGGCAAATTATACATTAAAAATTTTATTTATTTTTTCTTAAGACCAAAGGAGCACCTTTGATGGTTGAGGACACCCCTGTGGTGATTAGTTTAGTGTTTTCCTGGAGGAAGTTGCGCTGATGAACTGGGATGGTTCTCAGGTTCTTATTAATGCAATCAATTCTAGCTGGTACATTTGTTGGTGGTACTGTGTTTGGTGGCAGCCCATTGATCTGATACATCCAGTAGATATTTTCTGTCTGGAAATAAAGATGGGGAGAAGTTTCATGTGAAGCAACCATGGTCTAATAGAGAAAGCATTTGAAACAAACAAATAAAATGCTTAAAGTAATATGCGAATTAGAAAGTCATTTGTTTTCCTCTGTGCAGGGTGCATGGAAGCCACAGAAATAGATCCTCACCCATAGGGAAAAACTATTAACTTGCACAACAGGCAATGAAACTCGCTTCATTTTAAGAATGAAATGGCATTCACTAAAAATACACACACAGTCACAAGCCTGCCCTGTAGGTGGTCACATCATTTTTTCTCTGTGCGAGGTTTTTTTTTTTTGTTTTTTTTTTTGTTTTTGTTTTTGTTTTTGGTGGGGGTAGGGAGAGAGAGGAAAAATGAGAGTAAAAATGGAGGGAGGGTCTTCATATAGTTTGTGATAGGACCATTTCCAAACATAAACTATGACTAATTGAAAGAACTGGTTATAAGACTGATTTACAAAAGTTTCATTACTGCATTTAAATTAACCATGAATTGATGAATAGAGTATTAGACTCACTCACTTCACTCTGTAACTGCTACTCTACCTGATTTCAACTCCAGGAAACAAGATGCTCCTCCCAGGTTAAGTTAATCTCCTCCAATCTCATCTCCATGCTGCTACCTCCAGCCTCAAATAACACCAACTCCCTCAGCCTTCTCTCCCCTCTGATTGGAGGGCTGAAGGATGGAGTACCAAAATCCTCCCAATGCCTTCCTTTATAGAAGTACTATTATGTCTGGTTTCAATTCCACTGAAAAAGATGCCCCCTCCCCAGGAACCCCTGGTGTCCCCAGTTTCCCCTTTCCCCTCTGCTGTCCTGCCTCCTTTGGTGGGTTGTCTTCCCCCAATAGATTGCAAGCTCTTTGAGGGCAGTAACTAACTTTATTTTTTTTAATTAATTGTAGCCTTAGCACTTAGCACTGTGCCTGGCACGTGGTAGTTGCTTAATAAATGTCCATTGTATTGGATTGGACTGAGAGCAGGGGTGATCTTGGTTTTTATCATGTCTCACACAGTGACTGTGCAATTATGGACAGATTTTTAACTTTTCTGAGCTTTATTTTGCTCACCAATAAAATAGAAATAATTATACTTAAAGTACTTATGCCAGATGCCTTTTGGGTGGTTTAAATGAGATAGATTATATAAACAGGGATATGTTGGTAAATGTTTTACAACTGTCTGCCCCGCCTCTAAAATATGTTCCCACAATACACTTTTAAGTTTGATCTACATTATTGACATTTTCCATCATTTTCTTAAGTCTAGATAGTCAAAATAACAAACCAAGCTCTGATTTCCAAGGTTTGAATGCTTACTGAAAATTTTACAGTCCACTCTCCAAAGTAATTTTGAGCTGGCTCCTGCATATTCAGATTTCAAACCATGAAACCTATAGAATTGATAGGTTTCTGCCTACAGCAGTTCAAGTGAGAAGAATTTGTATAGGAATTGGTTATGAAATGTTTCATCGCTTCTATGGATACATATAGGGAAGAGAATTCAATAAGGTAGTCATTTTCTAGCTTACTGGGTATTTTCATGTATGCCAAAGCCACAATGCTTTTGCCTTCATTCTTTATAGCAGGTATTCTTCATTTATACATTTTTACCCCTCGTGTTTATTGTTGGTTCTTTTCCCATAACATTCCTTCTCCCATTAATTTGCCTTTGTACTAAAATGCACTTACTCCTCAACTCCAAGTCAAGGTTTTTCTTGTTCCTTCAAGTCTCAGCCACCATCTAGTACCCTCAGCTCCTAGGCCCTCTCCAGTAAACTATACATTTATTTTGAGTGTCTTCTATATGTACTTTTTCATGCATGTTAGCTCCCATGATATAAGTTGATTGAGCTAAGATGATTGCCTTTTGAGCACTTGGAATTTGGTGATGACTATTTGGCTGTTCCCATAGATGGAGCATGTGGACCATATGAAGAGGAAGTAGGTGAATTGTTTTTCTAGGAATGATGACATTTATACGTGAGGTAAGGTAGGGACATCAAGAAACACAGTTCTTCCAGAATGAGTTGGAGGAAGAAGACAAATAGTGGTGATTGGAGGTGCCTTGCTGAAGGATTCTTGGGAAGTTATTTGTCAGACTAATAATAACAGTTAGAGATATCTGCTGTCTTCTAAGGATATTTACCTGGGGCATGGTGGAGAACTTTTTCAAATGTGCTCAACTTGGAAACTATTACCTAGCTCTAGTGATTTACATGGATAAAAATGATGCTGACTGAAGGAATCTAGAAACAGTGGTTAGGGATTATGAAGACATGCATAAGAATCTGAAAAGCTCAGGTACACAGGTGGCATTTCCATAACTGCTTCCATTTGAAAGCAGGGTCTTTAGAACAGAAAGACAGGTTTGGGGCATGGGCAGCTGCTTGAAACCATGGAATCTCAGAAGAGGCTTTTTAAATTTCTGGACCACATTTTAAAATATAAGAGTTGCATTATTTTGGTCAGGAATGATGTAATCTTTAACTAGGATGAGTAAAAATAACATTTGCCTAATGAGAAAACTTAGATAAAATGATGCCAAGTAAAGAAAGCTAAATCAGGAAAACATTATACAAAACAATTTATATTTTAAATGGAAAGAACAACAACAAACAAATGAATGAATACTATTTAATGATAATGAAGATTCATCTTGGAGAAAATGGGAAATGTGCCTCCCTCCCATCTTTGCAAAGGTGGAATACCATGCCTTTAGAATATCGCATATACCTCCTGACTTAGCTGATACATAACATGCATGTATACAGAGATACAGACAGTAATACATATATATATGTATATATATATATATATATTTGGATAGATAGATAGATAGATAGATAGATAGATAGATAGATAGATAGATACACATAAAGGTTCACTCAACCAAGCACTGGCACCCCAGAAGAATAACTTTGCATGTGGCTCTACTAGATTATAAGACCTTCCCAGTGTTTTTTCCCTTTAAAAAATGACTGATAGATTCAGGTCTTTAGGAAAACCATTTTTTTTTCAAATAGTATAACCAGAAGACTAGTTGCAAAACATTTTCCCCAATACCCTGGATATAATCTTTCAAACATATACAGAGAGTCCTTGGAGGGAAGGGCAGAGGGAGTAGCCATGAATTGAAAATACAGTGGTCCTCAGGCACATTTGCAGGGAACACAAGTAGCCAAAGCAAGTCACAGTTGTGGGACTGCACAGACTTAATGCCCTTTCTCTCTGGAGTTTCCTCACAATATTTGGGGGATAGTGATGACGGGGGTCACATTCATGATGGATGAGATAGCTCCACAGCTCTGCTGGCCTCATTTTTAATAAAGTGTAGCTGGACAGGTCAATCTACTGCTGAAGTGGGCTGAGCTATAGCTGCCAGGCTAGCCCAAACAGGTTGCTGGGCATTCTTACAGAAGGACCAATTCTCTGAATGTCTCGGGCTTGATCTTTAATGGGTATCCAAAGTCCTTTTCCACTTTTAGTCACTGGCTTGGTTGCATGGCAGTGTGCTCTCTTTCAGTTAGGGCAAAGATTCAGCTTAGGATCAGCAGAATTATCTCCCTTCTCAGTTTGTCACCTTGCCACCTTCAGGCAGGAATTGGGAGAAATCTTTCTTCTGCAATTTAACAGATCTTTCCAGGCTCAAAATCCCTTTCCCTCTGTAAGACACTCTACCTTAACAAAAGCTGACATTTGTATATTACTTACTATGTGCCAACTACTGTGCTAAATGCTTTACCATTATTATCTCATTTCATTCTCATAATAACCCTAAAAGGTAGCTATTGTTATCACCATTTTACAGATGAAGAAACTGAGGCAAACAGAGGTTAAATGACTTGCCCAGGGTCACACAGCTAGTAATTATCTGAGGCTGGATTTAAATTCAGGTCTTCCTGACTCTAGGCTTAATGTTTTCTCCATTCTTTCCACCTAGCTGATTCAAGCTGCCACCTTGCCTTAGAATGCGTAGTTTCAAGCTCTCATACTCCTTTCAGATAAGTAACTAGAGACAAAACTAATAATGCTGTCTGTGCCCAGGAGACAAGTTCAGTATCTCCATGCATTCTTCATAGGCAACTGAAATATTTAAAAATGAAACCCTTTCTAGGAAAGTATGCATGTGTGTGTGTGTGTGTGCATGCCTGCATATTATATATATATATGTATATATAGATATATTCATATATGTATATGTGTGTACTTGTATATATGTATATACATATATATAATTATATACATTATATAGACATACACAGATACACATATATATTTCATCTGAAGGCCTTTCCCTTTATATTTTAATGTTTCTGTTCCTTATCTCTCTTTCTACCCTTTCTAGGACAGTATGCATGTGTGTGTGTGTGTGTGCGCATGCCTGCATATTATATATATATGTATATGTAGATATATTCATATATGTATATGTGTGTACTTGAATATATGTATATACATATATATAATTATATACATTATATATACATACACATATATATTTCATCTGAAGGCCTTTCCCTTTATATTTTAATGTTTCTGTTCCTTATCTCTCAAGACTCTTTACTTCTGCTGAAGTCCCCCTGGGGTATCCCTCTTTACAGATAAGTATAGATATAAGCATATATTGTTTGGAACCCAACAAATATAACAAAGTCTTAAATCTGATAAGACTGGAGAGAGAAAACTATCTACACAAGCCTACCAAGTTACATACTCCAGAAAGTCAGAAAGTATAGACTACAACACTGGCTTTAAAAGGATGTCAGTAGAAACATTGAGACATTCAAAAGTAAAAAAAAAATCTAGATAAAATCCAGTCTCAGGTCTCTACATAAAAATTGCCCGCAAAATGGACATAACTCTGAAAGTAGGTGGTATTCAAAAGGGAAATGAAAGATAAATGGGGGCATTAACTCCTAGTGATAGAGATCATGACCAATCCAAGTGACTGCCCATCCTCTGTGACTCTTATCCATGTCC